CCCGGCCTTGCCGGCGCCGGCGACTCCGACGAGGTCCCTTTCAAGGTGAGCCAGGCACCCACTCCGGCCGAGCGCAGCAGGTGGCGCCTGGGCCGAGCCAAGTGGGGAGGAGACCCGGGGAAAGGGTAAAGGCCCCGCCGGACCCTCCGCGCGGGCGACTGGTACCCCGCAGCTGGAACGGCGGATCGCGCGCACACACAGCTGTCAGGCCTGGGTTGGGGTAACCAACAGCTGGCCGGGACGAACAAGGGTCCCGTGGCCATTAGAGCCCGGCAGGTGCCCTCGCCCACCATGATGCCCTTCCCCCACCCGGCCTCATCATTTCCCATATGCTGCCTTTCTTCACCTCCAGGGTCTGTGGGTCTCTTACTGGGGGGGAGGGGGAGCTAGGAAGAAGTCTGACAGTTGCCTGCCTGCCCAGAAGAAAAAGCCCTGCGAGTGGGGAGGTGGGAGGTGGCACGACCACCTCTGGGCAGCACATGGGTGCAGTGGTTGGGCAACCAGCTGCCACTGCTGTAACCAGAGCTGGTCCAGGGCCCTCCTCAGGTCAAGATCTGACCCTGCTTTGGCAGATCCCTCCAGGGCCTGGCTGGGACTGGTTCCTGCTGGGATTTGAAACCCACAGGTCTCTTAGGGGCCCAGCTGCCACCGCTCAACTCCTCAGCTCTGCTCCCAGATCAGGAATGGTGTCCATGGGCCTGGGGGTGGGGACAGACAGGTAGGGCCTTGCTCTTACCCACACTGAGCAAGATGGGGGAGGGTGGGGGACATAGCCTTGCAGAGGCAGAAACTGGGAGGCCAGGACAGTGGGGGCTGTAGTAGGCTTGAAACGCCCCCCTCCACTCCTGTCTCTCTGACCAGGCCAGCTCAGGACAGAGTGGACACTCCAATGGTGGACCACCACCTGGTCCCCTTTGGCCCCAGCCTGACTGACCCTCTGGCCTGCCCTAGGTCATGCTGGTGGGGGACTCGGGCGTGGGGAAGACCTGCCTGCTCGTACGCTTCAAGGATGGTGCATTCCTAGCAGGGACCTTCATCTCCACCGTGGGCATCGACTTCCGGGTGAGAGTGGAGCCTGCTGCACCGAGCCCCTTCAGCCACCCTCACTGGGTCCTCCTGTCCCTGGGCAGCTGGTCCTGTAACCCCCGCCCTGAGGTCAGCAGGGTCACTAAGTGGAGCTCTGCACCGGGCCATGACTCCTGGGGTGAGGGCGGCTGGGATGGCCACTGGTGACTGCCTCCAGTGTCCCAGGGTCCTGGAGAGAACTCCCAACACTCCAGGAGGTGGCTGCATCAGACTGCAGAGGACAGTGCTGGGGGCTGGCGCTACCTGGGCTGTATGTAACTGCCCTGGAGGAGAGGGTCAGTGTCCCTTGGAGGGTGGTAGCCAGTGGGGACTCAAGGCCACATCCACTTAGGAGCCATCGTCACTGTGCCACATCATGAGGGCCTCTGAGACAGGCCTGGGGGAAGAGTCCCTGCCCTTGGGTGAAAAGACCTCCCCCAGCACAGGGCCCCACCTCTGTCCACCAGGTCTGAATTCCACGTGCTGAGGTGCTAGTGTGTTCTCAGCAAATCCCAAGTCTGCATTTTCTCACCCTTTAATTAGACCCAGTTAGCAGGAGGATGGGAGCCCTGTTCCAGGGGCAGTTAAAGGGGGGGTTCCTCCAGTCAGGTAGTCAATCCCTATCTTTGCGGTGCCCAAGTCTCCTGAAGTCCTCTGCCTGTTCCCACCTCACCCCCACCTCCCTCTTGGCTCTGGGCAGGTGGTGAGGGAGGTGAGGCTGTTTGGTTTGCACACGTGCTCAGCATGCCAGGGAAGGCGGAAGGCGAGGTGGCCTCCCCAGGGCCCTCCCCAACTGAGCAGATGGCTGGGCTTGGTTCCCAGGAGACCCAGAAGCATCTGACAGCAGGAGCTGGGGAGAGCGGTGCAGGCCACAGGTCAGGAGCCCGTCCCCACCCACCAGATGAACAGGTGGAGCCATTCCCTGCTAGGTCGTCTTGAACTGGGGGGCCTGCTGGAGAGCACAAACAGCACACACTGAGCCAGGCAGGCCCAGGACCACCCTGGAGTCGGGCACTGGGGAAGCACGGGGCCCAGACCATCTGTGTAGCCTTCTGGGGCTGGGGTGCTTCTAGAGGCTTTTCGAGACACTGGCCCTTACTCTAGGCCAGGTGCGGTTCAGTTTTTCAGACAGCAGTGACTGGAACAACCATCGACTGGCACCCTAGCCGTTCCCACTTGCAGACGGGGAAACTGAGGCAGTGATGAGTGAATGCAAGTGGCTGAGCAGCAGGGTTCAGAGTGCTGAGGCTGAATTGGCAAGAGGCACAGGGATTGGAGGGGAGGGCAGGCTAGGGCAGCCCCCAGCAGGAAGGGGGATATAGGCGCAGGGTACTGGGGCTGGAAGCAGGCTACAGCCAGACCAGTCAGGAAGCACAGGCAATGGCCTGAGTGACGCCAGGGGACCCCAACCTCCTGGTTCTGGTTTCAGAACAAAGTCCTGGACGTGGATGGCACGAAGGTGAAGCTGCAGGTGAGCTGAGGGGTGGGGGAGGGGAGCTGGGGGAAGGACACCAGGGAGGGGCTCAGCAGCCTGACCCATGCCTGTCACTACAGCTCTGGGACACAGCTGGGCAGGAGCGATTCCGCAGTGTCACCCATGCCTACTACAGGGACGCTCACGGTGAGCCTGTGGACACAGGGCCCAGCCCCCAGGGCTGCGGTCAGCGGGTGTCCTGCTCAGGAGTGGTTGGGAAGGTGTGGTGGCATCTTCAGTGACCGGGTGCCCCTGCCCCACAGCCCTGCTGCTGCTATATGACGTCACCAGCAAGGCCTCCTTTGACAACATCCAGGTCAGTGGCGGCCTCCGCAGATGGCACCAGGTCCAGGGTTGGAGAGGTTGTATACAGAAGCTTGTCTCTGCCCTCTCCTCAGGCCTGGCTGACCGAGATACGGGAGTCGGCCCAACCCGACGTAGTGCTCATGCTGCTGGGGAACAAGGTGGGTGCACCCAGCCACTTGGCCCTGAGCTGGGGCAGGTGGGGCTGAGCTACAGGTAGCTGTTACCAAGACCCTGTGCCCGGGCCAGGTGGACTCTGCTCAGGAGCACGCAGTGAGAAGGGAGGATGGGGAGAAGCTGGCCAAGGTGAGTCAGGGCAGGGTGGGGGCGCGAGTGCCCTGGGGGCTGCAGTGCTGTCCTGGCTGGCCCCCACCCGGCTGGCAGCTGCTGTTTGCAGGAGTATGGGCTGCCCTTCATGGAGACCAGCGCCAAGACAGGCCTCAACGTGGACTTGGCCTTCACAGCCATAGCAAAGTAAGTCCTGGCCGCTGTTATGGCCCCAAGGTCTGATGCTGGTTGGGGCCACAGGAGGCCTTGTCCCCACATTCCTGCGCCACAGGGAGTTGAAGCAGCGCTCCATGAAGGCTCCCAGCGAGCCCCACTTCAGGCTCCATGACTACGTCGAGAGAGAGGGCAGAGGGGCCTCCTGTTGCCGGCCCTGAGTCTGGATGAGCTTTAGGGGCAGCTCAGCCCTGGAAGGCCGGACTGTGCACAGGCCCCTCTGGCTTCCCAGTGGGTCAGTTTCTAGGACACCCAGAAAGTCCTGCCCCTTCCTCGCCCCAGGAGCACGTTCAATCCTGTTCCAGCAAGCAGGCTCTGGGAGCCAATGGGTCTGGTCTATAACCTCCCCCCACTGGTGGTAGCCGAAGGCCTTGCCCACAAGGTCCCCATAAGCAGGTGTTGTCACTCTGCTGCCCTCCTGAGCACGCCAGGGAGACTGTTGGCACAATGGGTGCAGTGCCCAACCCTTAGAAAGCCATGTCTCCACCTGCTCAGGCAGGGCCAATCAGGAGCCGCATGTGCACGTGTGCCCCACGGGACCCTAGAGGACACCAGTATTACAGCTTTGTGATGAGATTGTGGGAAGTCACAAAAATGCCGGGAAACTGAGGTGCCAACTTTATCCACTGGCAGGACAGCAGCCCAACTCCAGGGGGCTGTGGCACAAGGGCTGGCCCGCTCACGGCAGAGGCGTGCCGCTGGGAATGTGATCTGCCCCATGCTAACGTCAAGTCTTTTGACTGCAAGGCTTTGTTTCCATCCTAGTGAATAAAATTGTGTTTTTCTGGAGTGCCTGTCTCGCCTGTCTTAAATGGGCTTCTAGAACAGATGCCAGGGGAATCCACAGGATGGAAGCTACTCCTCCGTAAACCATGGCTGCTTTGACCACAAAGGCTCTTTATGGAGCATGTGGAAACTTCCCTCCATGAGACTCAACGGTCAAGAAAAGGGTACTTGGGGCGACCCATGGTGTGACAGATAATCACTGAGCTTGGAGAGCTGTATTCCACATGGCTGACCACAGTTCAAATCCTGCCCCTGCCAACTTCAAAAACAAGGCAGGGATCAGCAGATGGCACAATGGTTATGTCGCAGGATTCCCACGTAGTTGACTGCAGTTCAAGTTTTGGACAGGTGGCTTAAACTCACACCCAGCACGTGTGTGCATGCCCCAAATCCCAAGAAAATGGAGAAGGGATTGCGGCATGGTCATCCCCCCCAGGGGGTGACTTCTCACTTTACGTCTCTCCAGCAAGCACACGCACCCTATAGCAAAAATCTCTAAAAAGGGGCCAGCTGGTTAAGGGCACTGGACTTCCACGTGGCAGACCGGTTCGGGTCCCAGACTCGCCAGTTTGCTTGCCTATGTACTCTCTCTGGTCAGGCTAAAATAAAAGGGCCCTCAATGGCCCGGTGATGAACGAGAGCTGCTGAGGGTAAACACATAAGTCACCTTTTTTAACCTTACAAGTAGCAATGGAGAAGGTAGTCCCAAGAAATGTAAAGTCACCGGTTAATAAACTTCTGTTTTTGTACCTTCGCCCCCTTCGACATGCAGTTTTCTGGCGTACCACAGCATACGCGAATGACGACTCGAGAGCAGTGAAGACGGGCCTCTGCTTTATTGCTAAGCAGTTCAGACAGACACGCCTACCTTACCATACCCTCCTGCCCCTTGGCTTCTGGATTAAGGTCGATTTAGGTTCCAGCTTTGTCGCCAGCTCACGATGAACCTAAAACCAGACAGCGCGAAATGTAGAAAGGCTTTCCTCCTCCATTTCGGGCAAAACTCACTACCCTTCCCAACCACTTCCCGTGTAAGAGGGTTCACTCCAAGCCTCAGTCTTGCAAAATAATCAGACTGCGTGTGCAGAGTTCATACGAGGTGTCAGAAGTCAAAGCAAATCATCACAGGCTCGGCGCTGCACTGGGGAACCCAGACTCGGCCTGGTCTTACCTGCAGAGAGCTGTAGGAAGTCGTGAGGTTTTGGAGGGAGAAATCATTTAAGTACTTGGGACAAGGCCAGCATGCAGGGTTCGGCGATTTTCAAAATCCCCCTCAGTATACAATCCCTTTCCAGACTAGCAAACATCAAATACAGAAACACACCACCACCTCGTACACGATCCAAAAGAATGCGCACACGCGAAGCTCAAGCCTTTATAGAAACTGCTCCCGCCGCTGTAATTGGGCAATCCTGGAGGAAGTGCCCGCCTCCCCCAGCCGCTGATAGGCTCCGCTCTTTAGCCCTTTGTTTCCACCAATCGTGCCGTGGCATCTCTTTGGAAAGGCGGTCTCTCTGGCCGAGACTCGCAGCTCCTCTGTTCCTGACAGACCAGGAGTCTCACTGTGAGCGATGGGTGTACCCAGCCAATCAGACTCCGATCTGCAACATAGAGTGATTCTGAAGCCGCCAATCCCGCTACGCGGCCACAGGGACGCCGGAAGTCGTAGTTTCCGAAGAGCCGTGCATAAGGCAGCAGCCTGGGTCCCGAGGGCCGAAGAACTACATTCCCGACGGGCAAAGCGCTTGAGTGCTTCCGGCTCGCGCGTCTCGTCCCTTCTCCCCGGCCGGCGGCCGAGGGGGCACGATGAAACGGGAAGGTGGCGTTGCCGCTCCCGGGCGGCCACGGGCGGGTGAGTGACCGCGCGGCGCGCTTGGTCCAGGGCTCGCGCCTCGGGGTCTCGCGGTGGGGCAGTCGGGCCCATCGGGGTCAGGGGACTGGGCTCGGCCTGGGGGGCGGGGCTGAGGCAGGCCGGAGGCTGCGTCCGTCCGTCACTCCGCTCCTTCGTCCTCTTGTTCTCTCTAGTCTTTCCTTCTTCCTGCATTTCTTGAGCACTGCCTGCTCCAGGCACTGTTCTGGGCGCCGGGAGACTGCGGAGAGCACGATCGCAGTCCCGTGAGCACCGTCAGGCGCAGGGTTCCTCAGCCTCCGTACAGCTGACAGTTCGCGCCGATCATTCTCAGCTGCGGGCGGCTGTGTTGTGTCTTGCGGGATATTGAACAGCATCCCTGGCTTCTACCTACTGAGCGTAGTAACACACCCAGCCCCTTCAGTTGCGACAGCAAAAGCGTTTCCAGACGTAGGTAAATGTCTCCCGGGGGCACCCCCCCCCCCCCCACCCCA